GCCAGCTGCAATTTCTTCTCTGCAAATTACACATAGAGGGTAACCTATCCAACATCACAAAAACAGCTGTAGTTGACCATCGATATACCACTGAACTTCCTCACAAGCAGACCTACAGCAGTTCCAAGCATTTTTGAAAGAAAATTTACCTCCATCCCACAAAAGCTTGTCCTCACTGGTATGGATAGTAACAGAGTTAACATAATCCCTGAAAGGTTGAACAGCCTCATCCTGCAACAACTGTAAATTCCATTCTCTATTTAGCACCAAATGGTTCAAAGTTGAATTTTTGGAGAAATGCAACCTCCTAACCATCCTAAGACCAAATTTCTGGGCAATTGTTTGGCCTCCGCACCAAGGATCATGAAAAAGAAGAACCGACTGTCCATGTCCAATTTGAAAACCTACATTCAACAACATGATGTCTTGCCACCAAAGATTTCCAAATAACAGAATAGGAATCTCTAGGAATCACATTCCAGTAATTAGCATGAGGGGCATATCTATGTTTAAACCAAGACGCCTATAGTCTGTCTTTACCAGCTAAGTACTCCCAGGCAAGAACACATTTGGAAGCCACTTGGATATCCATTAATTTTCTAAGTCCCAACCCACCTTCCTTTTTGGTTCTTGTGGTCATATCCCAACTAGTAAATGCATTTTCCTATCATGATCCTTACTGCCCCATAAGAAGTCCCTACACAACTTCTGAATCTGATTAGTGACAGCAACAGGGATGTTATATATACTACAGCAGTACAGAAAAATAGGAGTTACCACAGCCTTAAGTAATTACAACTTGCCTGCCACTGAGAGAAGCTTTGCATTCCTGCAGAAAATCTTATTGGAGATCTTGTCAATCAGATCCTTGCAATGAGATCTTTTAAGCCCACTGGGACACAAAGGGAGCCCCAAGTATATAATAGGAAAAGTATCCTCATTACAGTGCAGAAGCTCCACTATAGCATTTTCCCTTCAGACTGCTCTAGAAAACAAAATACTGCTCTTCTGGTGACTTACTTGAAGACCTGTGAGCTCCTCAAACTTTCTAAAATAGTAAACAGTGTTCTAGCACTATGAATTGAAGCTTTACAAGCCACCAAGAGATCATCTGCAAAAAATATGTGGCACAAGGAGGACTGAATTTTGTTTGCAGAGCGGAGGACTGTAAGATCTTTCCTTTGAACTGCATCATCTAAATTTTTTGACAAATGTTCAGTTACAGTGTGAATAGTAGTGGTGATAGGGGGCAGCCCTGTCTAAGGCCCCTACCAGGTTGTATGAAGCCAGCAGCTGTACCATTAATTAAAATAGAGTTTCTTGTAGAATGAAAAATAGTTGAGAGCCAAGAAATCCACCTCTCACTAAAACCATAACCATTAAGAGCCTTGAATAAAAACTCCCCATGTGCCTTCTTTATGTCCACCTTCATGGCCACAGAAGGATGCCTGGGACTGTTAAAGTTTCTATCCAGTTCATGTGCCATAATTAATGCCTCTTGTATTTTTCTGCCCTTAACAAAGGCACACTGCTCCACCCCAAGCAAAATTTGAAGAACCACTGCCCTTTTCCTTTTCTTTCCCCAAAGCATTTAGCAAGCTTCCATTTTACTTTGTTTTCTTGTTTTCGATCTAATAATTTCCCCATAAATATGATCTCTTGAAGCATGTGTAGTTGATTTTCTTATTTGGAATAATACTAGATTATTTCCCAAAGAAAAAGTTAGAACCTTGTCGACCTCTTAATGGGGCACTGTCAAGCCCCCAAACCAAGTGGCACTGTAGTAAATGCACCAGTCTTCCAAGAAGTGATAAACACAATCTGTCAACATATTTCACTTGATCTTCAACTGTCCACAAGCTTAATAAATAGTAGAATGACTGAACAAATTCAATAATTAACAAAAAATTTGGAGGCAGGAAGACTTCCCATTTCCCAAACACCCCTGTTGTCCAAACAATGGCCCAAGAGGGGTTTTTTGGTTGGGGGGAGGTGAATTGGGTCTTTTGGCAAATTGATAGGAAAATTTTCGACTAACTTGATTAAAATGAAATTTCAACATAAGCAAACAAATAATAAACAAGCTGAAGATAAAAGAGAGATACGGGTAGTGAGATGCAAACACAAGGAACACCGAGTCATAATGTGGTTTGGCACCCCATCTGCGCCCATGACTCGAGAACACCTCTCGAAGATTCCAATCCACAATAGCACTATCCTTCACGGGTGGAGAGGAAACCTTTACAAAGCTTCACATGCTTGTCTCTCTTTGCTAAGTGAACACCTACACCAACCGTTATACAACAATAATCAAGTGGAGGGAAGTGTTGCAATACAAAGTCTGGAATGTGGTCGCCTTCACTAATAGTGATTGTGACATTCGAAGCATGTCATGTAGCGTCAGCCTCTACCATTTTAAACCCCCCACGTGTCTCTAATAGCTTGAAACTGGGAATCACACCACACTTGGAGTGGTAACCAATACAATAGCATCCGCTGCTCTCTTCTCCCCTTCAATATGCCTGAACAACGAACCCTAAAACACCAAACATCCAATCTTAGGGTTGCATCACCCCACGACCTCTTCCCTTCCAGAAGGACTCTAATTGCCTTGGCATGCAACGACAATTGAAAGAGTAACAAAGTATCCGGCAACATCAACATCCCCACGCTGCTGGCCACTTTCCATGCTTGAGAAGCCCACTCAGCTGTTCTTTCCGTTGGCCCTACTGGTTTGTCAAACTTCCTTACAAGACAAGTCTGAAGAGCATCATGCCTCTACCAAAAAACCTTTCCTTTACTTTGAAGCATAACTCTCTCGTCTCTGGCACTGGTAGGACAATGGACTCACCTCCAGCGTACAGCCAACGTAGTCTATCTGCCTTTGCAAACGACCTTGTTTTGTGTGTGCGCGCGTATAGATAAATCAACTATATCTTGTTTTTCCAGTAATTTGAATTTATCAAAGACTCGAACAATCAAAGATTTTATTGGATTAATTACACAAAACACCCATGTAGTACGCCATAGTGCATACCAAAGGGGTGTTTTGTGCAATTAGTCCAATAAAATATTAACAATCAAAGTCATGAGATAAGTAACCTACTCTGCTACTGACTGAAAGTAAAGCTTATCGGTTGAATAAGTTTCTTCCTACTTTTATTATAAATTAACTTTAACTAATCTATGCATTGAACCAAGCATTCATATAATCAACCAACAATAAATTAAAAGCAGTAAAGAAGACACCAGAAATTTCATGTAGAGAATCCAAACCGGGAAAAGCCATGGGACTCAATTATGAGCTCAATACCATTCAAGGCATACTTTGCTCGTAGAATCCCGTGAAAGTTGATTTACCTTCGACCCATGGCATTCCCACTATTTCTATACATCACCATGTATAACTTCAATTAATCCTCAAACACTCGTTCTGTAATTCTAGCCGCCACTTATAGTCAACACAATAACTCTTTGTGGTTTGCCTTCTTTATATAGTGATCATCGCCCAAGGTCTCATACATGAGCATGAAGTAACTATGAACCGAACTACTGGCGTTGTTCATTAGAATTTTCAATCTTGGCACTAAGGAAGATGATCAGTGAACAAAGACGTTCAATCTTAATTCTCAATTGCTCAAATAGGTTTGTGTGCTCAATACATCTCTTTTTCCCTAAGAGACTTTAAATAATTTAGAAACCCTTTTCCAAGTCTAACATCGAATCCTTTTTTAAGTTAAAAACTCCAACTTCTTGTCACTACTAAAGCATGTATTGGTGCATAACTCTTTTACAAGGAATGTACCGGTGCATAAACAAAGTTCAAAACTAAATAAAATCTACTTTATGTCGTTATATAGACTTGGGTATGTGTTAGGGTGCTAGTATGTGTTGAAGCATTGGATTTACCAAATGCCCAAAACTAAGGAAACGGGGACACAATATTGTTTTAATATTTTTCTTTACTTATCAACTTAATTCATTAATTTTGTAAAGTAAAAAAATGTTTACATTTGTTTTGAAGCAAAAGAAACATAGAATATCGTGCATAATTATAGATAAATATTTCTTAATTGATCTGCTTGTTAGATACATGTCAGGCATATACTCCATACGCACACACACACACTCACACACACACACACACACACACACATATATATATATGTATATATATATTTTTCCTAGTTGGTACTCACACACACGTCTCTTCTGAGACTTGAACCCCTGACCTCCCTTTGGGAAGTAAGAGGCTGAAACCGCTAGGCCACTGGCCCTTTGGTGTTTTTTTTTTTTTTCCCCTAGTTGATACTTGCACACATGTCTCTATTGAGACTTGAATTATTGACCTCCCTTTGGGAAGTAAGAGACTGATACCGCTAAGCCACTGGCCCGTTGGTCATACACATATTTAAATACCAGCTACTTCACCAATTTTTGATGAGTCCATGTAAATTTAACAAAATTACAACTCGATGATTTTGATTGTTGACATGACATTTTTCTAAGAAGAGGACACCAAGTCCTAACTAGTTGATTTACATATTCAATATTCTGTTTTTTCTTTTTTCGGGTGGTGGTGTATCTAGTGTGGTTTCATAATTTTTGGAGCCCCCAATGGCTTAATAAATAAGTCGGCAATCTTGAAGAGTTGGTTTTATACAACTTGATAGCTGTGTAAATAATTTAGATCTCAGTTTTTGTAAAGCAGGATGGCAACATTGGTTCAATGTCTTCAATTTCCTTTACATTTTCTCTACCAGTTATTGTAAATGAGTTCCATTTGATGCCAAAATTCTGGTTTCCCTTACAATGGCATTAAATGGAAGATTATATTTGTAATTTTAGAATTTGAGAGGTAATCAGCTGGGCAAGTAGCCCATTTTTTTTGGAAATTTTTGTGGACCATGTTATTGTATTTGTTCCATGCTTTTGCGACCACTATCCATATCTGTACTGTTCGAGTGCTCACTTTATCACTGGCTTGCCTTGGAAAACAGTGCAGGGATTACTGAAGGCTTTTCTATGTGTGGTGGTGACTTCGTTGAAGTCTACAGCGATCCAAGCCAAGTAGGTAGGAGTTATAGTATAACTTCAGTCTTCTTTTTTTTTTTTTAAATCTAATTTTTTGAATTGATGCATAAACTTTTTTTTTTTTTTGATAGATAATGAAAAGATTTTATAAATACGCTGAAACGGGCAGCGCTCCCATATCAAACAACTGCCATCCAAGACGACACTGAAGTTTCAAGCTATCAACAAAATCCAAAAGACAATCCACTGATATACAATCCCGCCCATCCACCCAAAAGAACAAAGAAGAAAGAATACTATACTTAATGGCTCAAATAGGAGACTCCACACCGTCAAAGTATCTCCTATTTCTCTCTCGCCACAAACCCCACCATATACACAAGGGAGTGGCCCTCCAAGCATTTCTGACTCGGCTCTCCACTGTACACGATCTCCAAGTCTCAAGCAAGTCAACCGTAGAATCTGAGAACACCCATGGAATACCTAAAGCAACCAAAAACATGCTCCAAACATCCCTTGCCACCGAGCAATGAATAAGAAGATGGTTGACAGATTCCCCGGTTTTCTTACACATGTAGCACCTGTTTACCACAACTTGACTTCTTCTTCTAAGATTATCAATAGTGAGGATGCTTCCCAAAGCAGCTGTCCACGAGAAAAAAGCTTCCTTCAGTGGTGCTTCGGCCTCCAAACAGATTTCCAAGGAAAAACAAGGCCAAGAAGCTCCACCATACTAAAATAGAAAGACTTGACCTCGAACACCCCTCTCGAGGCACCTACCCACACCATCTCATCCATGCCCACCCTGACCACCATCTGACTATAAATGAAAGCCAAAAGATCTGCAACCTCCACTAGTTCCCAATCATGGAACTGTCTACGAAACCGTAAATCCCAAATCACCCTACCATTATCAAGACGATAAAAATCAGCAACTAAAGCATCTCTATTCACAGCAATTCGATACATAAGCAGGAACCTACGGGCCAAAACCAAATGCCCACACCATATGTCTTCCCAAAATCTGACATTTCTTCGACTAAATGGTAGCAGTCATCAAAATTATTACCATTCTCTCAACTTCAGACTACAAGTTACTTCTTTCTTTCTGAAAATGAATTTTCTTCTTTGTGTGCAAAGTAAGGTTTGTTTACCTTTTATTAAATGTGTGTCATCAGACTTTTTACAATAATTGTGCAGTAATGTCATTTTAAAACTTTTTTTTGATAATTAAAAAAAAATTGGGCAATACTCGAACCTTGGATTCGAGGTGATGTTTTAGCAAAAATGTCATTTTGAAACTTGTTGCACAAATCCGCACCGCTTTTTTTTTTTTTTAAATTTTCTGGATGAGATGTGTATTAAAGGAAGAACATTAGTACAAGAGACAAGAAGGGGGGCATACCCCTTAAAAATAAGAAAAGGAAATGGAGAAGGGCCATTTCCATTACAAAGCAATAAGCAACAAAAACAAAAAGACTAAAAACATGATAGCTCAAGAGAATAAAATAACAAAGTCTTCTGCTGAAAGCTTCAGAACTGTCATAACTTCCCAAATGATGAGAGGGTTGCCCCCTCTGGAGTATCCTTGTGATCCAAGTGGAATGTAGAATTTCTTTCTTTCCAAATCTTCCTGAGAGTAGTAGCAAGGATGACAGAGACAATGGAAGATGAAATTGACTTATTCTGAGTGGCTGCTACATGACCAAGAGATCAACTGATGCAGACTAGTAACCTGAGGCAAAGGAGTACCAGTCAGTTGGAACAGCTTCTCCCAAATGGCCTTGTGCTCATTACTATCAGCTATATCCAAACAATGACAAACAGAAGTAAGATGCAAACCCTGTTGACTTTAAGATATAATCAAATCAAGAGTAAAGTATAAGAAGAAGAAGAAGAAAAAGAGAAGAAAGAGGATGAGAGAAAAAGAGAGAGAGAGATCAGGAAAGAGAGAGAATGAAAGAATACTTTCGTCGTTCCATCACATTCTATTTATACTAATAAGTTTCAGAAATTACACATAGGCCCCAATATTATATAAGTAATAACAAATAAGTCCCTGACAACACTCCCCTTCAAGCTGGTGCAAAGATATCTATCATACCCAGCTTGACTAACATATTTTGCAAGCAAGTCTTGCTCACACCCTTAGTCAAAACATCAGCAACTTGATCATGTGTGTTGATGTATGGAGTACAAATCAACCCAAGACAAAGCTTTTCCTTAATGAAGTGTTGATCGACTTCAATGTGCTTTGTCCGATCATGTTGAACTGGATTGTGGGCAATGCTAACCACTTATAATCATTAAATTATAGTACTTCACTTTTAAGACATTATGGATATAAGTATCACTATTCTTCTATTTAGCATTACTGCAGATGCCTCGATAGCTTAGTGGTTAGTGTCTTCGGTGAATTTTGGGAGTGCCAGGTTTCGACTCTTTGCACTTACTAATCTAACTTCTAACCCTTCTTGCCTTGTAAAAAAAAATAATAATAATTAAAAAATTTAGCAGTACTCATATTTCAGTTAATGTTTTATGTTTATGTGCCACGTGCCTTGCCCCCTCGCCTTTTTAAACGCCAAAACTTGATACGTGGATTTGATGGTTAGAATTATGTATTACAACTACTTAATAATTGAAGAGTGGTGTCAAAAAATAATAATAATAATAATAATAATTATTATTATTATTATTATTGAAGAGTGTTTTGAGCTTAATTAAAACCAAATGTCTTAAGTAGTCCAAAACAAAATACTGATAATTTTTTAATATCTTTTGATAACTTTTTACCTGTACCACCAATATTCTTTTTTCATGTTCATAAGAAATCACAATGTATGATTAGTCATGGGGCCTGAACGTATTTACCCAATATCTCACTGCCATGTGGCCATGCTCTAGCTATGTAGTACATGAATGGAAATGCACATGCCATGCATGGAGTCGGAACCCAAATAAGAGGGCACCATTTTGGTTACTTTCAAACAAAGCCAGCATTGAATACAACGTATCACCCACAAAATCCTGATTAATCTCAGTCCACTCTTAAACGTGGAAAATTGATTGGGGCCCCAAATGGACGGCCCTGATGTTTCCTACCATAAAAAATGGGCCGTACGATTTCCTGGGGAGGGCCATTGTCGCCTACCACGCACGTCGTGACAGCTCACGCCTCTCTGTTGCACACGTCGATAGTGGGGACCTAACCAAGTTGCTTGGTCATGCCACATCCGCGAACAACCACCCTGTGCACGTTCTCCAACAGTTTCTCTCAAGGTTTTGTTCTCAATCATTGGTATGATACCCATTTACTATAATGCCCTTGATTAATTTGTCAATCACAAAACATAATAGACCATAATACCCTTCTGGTTTATTGTTATTTTTATTTTTATTTTTATTTTTTGAGCTTTATCCATCCACCTAATTAGGATTAACTGACTGGTCAAATCACATTCAAATAAAATTTCAAGAAACTGTCTCTTGTCTCCAAACATTCAAAAACTTGACAATTATGGAAGTGATCCATGTGAAAAAAGTTAATTATTAAATTTAAGATATAAGTAAGATATTGCATTTTTATTAAAAAAAGGTATAATGTAATGGTCATTGTACAAAACTTTTGATTAGAAAATTTATTTAATGGGTCATCAAAACGGTAAAAGCATTTGAGATTCTCAAATACAATCTTGCTTACGCCCTTTGTAAGAATGTCTGCAAGCTGTTGAGAGCTTGTGACAAATGGAGTGCAAATTTGACCAGAGATGATCTTCTCTCGAATGAAGTGACGGTCCACCTCTATATGCTTAGTCCTGTGATGCTGAACGGGATTTGCTGTTATGCTAATAGCAGACTTGTTATCGCAGTAGAGTGAGAATGGAAGTGACACTGGAAGGCCCAAGTCTGTCATCAAGGTTTTCAGCCATAGCAACTCACATACCCCAAGTGCCATAGCCCTATACTCTGCCTCTGCACTAGATCGAGAGACAACATCCTGCTTCTTACTATGCCAAGTAACCAAGTTACCACCAACAGTGGTACAATAACCCGAAGTTGACCTCCTATCTGAAATTGATCCAGCATAATCAGTATCTGTCCAAGTCTCAACACATATGTGACGATGATTGGCAAACAAAATACCACGGCCCGGACACCCTTTTAAATAGCGAAGGATCCGAATAGCTGCATCAAGGTGAGGGGTACGAGGAGAGTGCATGAATTGACTCACGACACTCACGGCATAAGCAATGTTAGGTCGAGTCATGGATAAATAGATGAGCTTCACCACAAGTTGCTGATATAGACCAACATTTGACAACAACTCCACCTCAGAATCAGCCAACCGATGATTCTGCTCAATCGGAGTATCAGTAGGACGAGCGCTAAGCTGACCAGAAACAGAAAGCAAGCCAAGAACATACTTGCGTTGAGAGATGAAAATACTAGCCTTGGAGTGAGCCACCTCAATGCCCAGAAAGTACCATAAGGGGCCAAGATCCTTATTCTTAAACTGACGGCCAAGATAGCTCTTAACCTCGGCAATTCCGGTAGTATCATCGCCGGGAAGAACAATATCATCGACATACACAATGAGAACAACTGTCTTACCGCCTGCATGGCGTAAAAATAAGGTATGATCAGCTGCACTTTGATGGAAACCAAACTTGAGCATGGCAGTGCCAAAGCGATCAGACCAAGCTCGAAGAGACTGCTTGAGGTCATACAGAGAACGACGAAGACGACGTACCATACCAGAATGAGCAGGAGAACGAAAGCCCGGAGGAGGAACCATGTACACCTCCTCCTGCAAATCACTATTGAGAAAGACATTCTTGACATCTAACTGATATAGAGGCCAAGATCAAATTGCGGCAACAGAAAATAATACATGGATGGTATTCATCTTGGCAACAGGGGTAAAAGTCTCCTGATAATCTATGCCATAAGTTTGAGCATAACCCTTTGGCAACTAACTGGGCCTTGTAATGAGCAACTGACTCATCTGGATTATGCTTAACTATAAACACCCAACGA